CCTATCTGCCCTGGTCCTTTTCATTCTCTTCCCAATCCACTTCCTAACTTCATCTTTTTTTCCCCTCAAGAAAGAATGCACCAAACACATTCATTTTTTGTTTCTTTGTTTTTGGTGGTATTGGATTGAACCTAGGGCGATCACACTGAATTGAATCACAACCTCTTTTTCAGATTTTCTATGTTGAGAAACAGTCTTGCTAAACTACCAAATCACCCAGGCTGAGCTTGAATTTGTGATCTTACTTCAGCCTTCCAGAGTGCTAGGATTAGAGGCATGTACCACCAGTCTAGCTTTCTTTTTAAAGCAAACAGTGTATTTCTGAGGGAGCGGAGGTTGTGGTACAGGGACTTCAGCTTCTTTTCCTAACTCACAGCTGTTTGCTCTTGCAGAGGAACAAGTCATTCAGGAGTCCACTTCACAGCCATGGCTTTTAAAGATACCAGAAAGACACCTGCAGAACCAGAGCGGGTGATTTGCCTAATTAGAATTATCCTCACCAGCCGCAAAGTGAAATCCCTGGAGAAGGTGCATTCTGACTTGATCAGAGGAGCAAATCTAAAAGTGAAAGGACCTGTTCAGGTGCCTACTAACACCTGGAGAATCACTACAAGAGAAACACCTTGTGGAGAAGATTCTCAGACATGGGACCATTTCCAGATGAGAATCCACAAGCAACTCATTGGCTTACACACTCCTTCTGAATTGTTAAAAGGATTATTTCCAACAATATTGAGCCAGGAGTGGAGGCTGAAGTCACCATTTGCAAATGCTTAAGGCAACTGTTTTAATAAATTGATTATCAGTGGTTAAAAAGAACAAATTACATAGTTTACCAGCTTTTTAAAATTGAGGCTTAACATTATATATTTGAAGAATTGTCAAAACTTTACTAATTTGCTAGCATCCGTGCACAACTAGAAAACATTCTTAAATTTATTAAACCAGAAATGGATTACCATTAATGCATCGATACCTTTCATTTCTAAATACTGAAAAAAATTGAAATTATTTATTCTTTTTCTTTCTTTCTTTTTTCTTTTTTTGGTTTTTTGAGACAGGGTCTCTCTTTGTAGTTCAGGTTGGCCCTGGACTCACTATGTAGCCCAGGCTAGCCTCAAACTTGAGATCCTCCTGAATCTGCCTCCCAAGGGCACCACCGTGCCTGGCTGAAATTATTTCTTTTTTTTGGCTGAAATTATTTCTGTAGAAGCCTCGTCCTGGCAATGTTAGCTTTAGAGTAGGCTGACACTACTTGGCTCACATTTCAAAGACAATGGAAAGCAGATTCATGCTGGTGTTAGAGTACAATCTTGTCCCTGTGCTACTCAAGAGTCAAGGCTCATCTTGGATTACATTTAATAAAAAAGCAAGGCACATACAAAGATTACAACAATTTTAAAGACAAAATTGGCTCTATTGTGTGGTCCCAACAATAAACCAAAAATGTCTATGACAAATAGGGGCTCCCATGAGATATGTATGAATACTTTAGATTAAGTACAATTATACTGAAAGTTGAGTTGGTTTGAAATTTTCAAAAATATTTCCTATTAATCCTTAAGTGGTGCCTGTTATAATTTCATATTTCTGTTAAATTTGTTCATTAAATTAATTACTTGTTATCCAAATGTAGCAGCTACTCCTTACCATTTATCATTAAGGATTTTAACTGGCCATCTTCTTGAATTTCCACTCTTTCTTGGGTAGCCTTGACAATTCTCTTTGTAATGATTTTTCTGGCATTAACTATTTTAGAAGTTGATACAGATTTGAAGTTGTCCATTCTGCTTCCACCAAATCACTTGGAAGAGAACAAAGTGAGTGACTCAAATGAAGTAAATCTTAAATCAAATTAAGAAAATCTACCTCCAAAAGATGGAACTATACTGAAAGTAGAGACAAACAAGCCAGCATCATGGCTTCTACTTCCTTAGGGACCCCTTCAGTTCCTAAGAAATCCTCAGACTGATCTTCAAAGAGCTTGAATAAAAATATATCCCTTTCACCAAAAAATTCCCTAAGACATTATCTGGGTTCCAGACTGTCAAAATGACCTCCTCCTCCTCCACCATCATCTTTGCCATAGATGTCCTTTTTTAAAGCATTTGATAACACTTCATATGCCTCCACTACTTGTTTGAATTTTCTCTTTACTGTTTCTTATTCTCAGGATTTTTAAAAATTTGGATGCCATTTTAGTACTAGTTTCCAATATACCTTTTTGATCTCCTTGGGTAAGGAATGTATCTGCATGACTAGAACTTCATATTAGCCCATCATGTTTTAACAGGTTGCTGGGAGAAGTTTAAGGATATAGGATATAGGTGTCCCACAGCAGAAAGAAAGGAGGTGGATGGTGTGTCTCCTGGAGACTCTGGCACAGCTGTGCTCATGGCTGCTTTGTGACTTCTGGCTTCTTGGAATCTAACCTCCAACGTACCAGGAACCCCCTCCTCAAACCTGAAGTCATTATGTCTACATTATGTCTACTGTCCTTGCAGTCATGGGCTGAAGGAGGGTGTTGGGGGTTCCGAGAACAGAGTAAAAAGCTATAATTGGGGAACCCGGGAGGGCTGCCTGAGGAGGTGCAGGATGAGGATCCCCACAGACAGAGACTGGAATCAACTTTCAATCAGCGTGAAGGGAAAGGATTTTGGCAAAGGCAGAGAGGTGTAACTGTGCCCTTCATCTTGAGAGTTCCTCATCGTTTCCTGGGTCCTCTACAAGGTTCCTAACCTCTACAGTACATGGTCTGAGATGCTCTGAAGGCCTCTTTATATTCAATCTCATCCCTTCCTATCAAATGCACCTGGAACTGTGGCATTTCTGTAGGTTCCAAAAATCCCATTACTGAGATCAACTTCAGTCACTTATCAACTCAAAAAACATGAATCTTTCTTCTTTCCTCCCTCCTCCTTTCCTTCTTTTCCTCCCTCTCCCCTCCCTTCTCTCTCTCTCTCTCTCTCTCTCTCTCCCCCCCCTCCCCCCACTTCTCTCTACCTCTCTCTCTCCCATGAGCCTGAGCTGGGAGGAGCTGAACATCTCTCAGCACCAACAACCCAGCTATTAATCAGGGCAAAAGAATTAGGAGCCGAGAGAGCATCTGCCCAAGCAGGGGCTGGGACCATGACTTGGGCACAGTGCCTTGGATGACAGACATTGAGTCAACAACAGGCTTTGCTGATTGGATGAGGGTTAAGGAGAGCAGGTCTCAGCATGCCGGCCACCCAGACCCAGTTAAATGCTCATTGACCCTTTAAAGGCACTGGGAAGGAACCTAGACAGCGCTGCACTGAGAGACCCTGCAGGGCACTGGAATGTAGAGGCAAGGCCATTTTCAGGGGCACTACAGGCCGTCTGAGGTGAGCATGACACCCTTTCCTCTGGATGGTCAGGCTGGGCAGGCTTCTTTAAACCCCTGTTCCCCTCCCCCTGCAGGGCTCAACGTGTCTAAGAATCTCCTTGTGACCCCTCTTCCTTCCCTGAGAAACCTGGGATTTGGCTGCCAGGTTCTCATTGCCAGGCCAGCATGCTGTCAATTCATGTTTTTCATCCAGATGCCTCCCACCTGTGATCCAAGCACTTGGAACTGCAAATTAAGTACCAGCTGGGCTACATAGTAAGTTCAAGGTCAGCCTGGAAACCAAAATGAGACCCTGTCAGAAAATAAGAAAGAGAGAGAAAGAGAGAAAGAGGAGAGAGGGAGAGAGAGAGAGGGAGAGAGGGAGAGAGGGAGAGAGGAGAAGGGGATGAGAAGAAGATGGAAGCAGAGGCCAGGGAAACATCTGCAATGAGATTCCACTTCACTCATTCAATAGAATCAGGTTTAAGACCCATAAATCCAAGCACTGGTGAGGATATGGGTCAGGTGGCACCTTCATGTATGATCAGTGGGGATGCAAATTGTACAGTCATTCTGGAGGACAGTTTGACATTCTACTGACACAGCAGTTCCTCTCAGGTCTTTACTCTCAGGGAAATGAAAGCATGTATGAACACAAAGATGTGTCAGAAAATGTTCAGAACAGCTTTATTAAAAAATAGCCAGTCCTGGGGATGGTAGCACACACTGGTAATCCCAGCATTCTGGGAGATTAAGGCAGGAAGATTGCAAATTTCAGCCCAGCCTGGGCAGTTTAGTAATATAGTGACTTAAATAGATCCTGTCCAAAAAAAAAAAAAGGCAGGGGATGTAGGTTCTGGAAAGGCCCTGGTACTGCAGAAAGGAAACAAACAAACAAAAAACCCAACACACCAAACAGCAACAATAAAAATATATAGAGGCATGTCTGCCTCAGGAGCTCTATAATGCTTTCTTGTCTCAGTGGAAGTGTACATAGTGTGCCTTACAAAAAGGCCCTTAACCTAGGTTGTAAGGTTATCCTTGTCTGTCCCCTCCCTGTCCAGGGTGGGCAATGAGAGAATATTCATCATTTAACCCAAAGGTCTAGAGTCTCTGTAGTTAAGCTAAATGCAATGGAGGAAAGAAGGGGGATGGTCCTCCTGGAAGAACTGGTGCCCAGGAGGACAAGGTAGTCAGAGGCATGGGAATTCGAGGGGTCCTAGGGTCAATGGGATGAATGATACCACCTCTGAGTGACAGAGGACAGAGGCAGGTTGAGCACGCTTTGACACCTTTGCACAATAAGATAAAATACACAGGGCTGGGGATTTAGCTCAGTGGTTTTGCTGCCTGCTGTGCAAGCTCAAGGACCTGAGTTCGATCCCTGGTACCCCCCCGCCAAAAAAAATACACAAGAAGGGCTGTGTTAGTACTTTTCTCTCATTGCTGAGATAAAATACACAATACCCAAAGTTAAAGGGGAAAAGGTTTATTTAGTTCACAATTTGTAGAAGTTTCAATCCATAATCGTCTGGCTCCAAGGCAGGGTGGCAGAGGGACATCAGTTCATGGTGGCAGGAGACAACAAAAGCAACAAGAGAATTTAACAGTGTCTTTCTGCCCCTTTTATCTTATTCAGACAACCAGAATTAGGGTGGTGCCAAACCAATCAGTGTACTGGTTTAGTAATCACACACCCTTAATTTCAGCACCACACACTCTAGATTCAACCATTGCATGAGGCTTTGGGGGAGACATCTAGATCCAAACCATAACAGGGGCCAAAAAATATTTAGAGACAACAATGAAATGAGAAGGAAAATGAGTCACTTGGAGACCCATGGTGAGTAGGGGATGGTTGGGAGCCCAGGAGGTTGTGAGGGGAATTCTGAAAGACAGGAGGACACCTCCTCCGATGGAAAAGCCCTTGAGAAGCCAGGGGACAGGAATGTCTTCTGATAGATATACCTGGACCTTCTTGACTCCCTATTTCCACTTCTAGGACACACTCCAGAGACAAAACCCTTCACAAATGTGCTCTGATTGTGCAATTGTAGGCCTCATAGCGTTTGAAAACTACAAGAAAAAGAGCAAACTTCAGGAGATCCACCACCAAGGAGACTGTGAAACTGGCCTCCTGAACATACTCCAGCTGGCCCAGGTTCAAGGTTTCAGGGTCTAAGCTCGCCCTTGATTATTACAAAATAGGGCCACACACCTCCTTGGAACAGAAGTAGATGAGTAAGTGGATTGTTTCATGTTAATAAAAAATGACATTTAATCTTCAAGGGCAAGAGGTGGACCAAAGACTTTCACACTTTTATTAGTTGTACCCTCACTGGTTAAGATCTGGGAACATTAAGAATGGTGGTGTGGGGCCGGGGATTTAGCTCAGTGGTTTCACCGCCTGCTGTGCAAGCGCAAGGACTCAAGTTTGATCCCCTGTACCAAAAAAAAAAAAAAAAGAATGGTGATGTGAAGGTTTACAACCACCATGTTTACATATAGAAACCAAGCCTTTGGTGTGACAGTATTAAGGAGCGAAGCTTTTGGAAGGAGAATTGGATTGATACCCATATAAAAGAGGCCAGAGAAAGCTTGATCATCCCTTCTGTCATACGAGGAAATAGTGACAAGGTGCCATAGAAGAGCCCAGAGCAAAACCTCACCAGACCCCAAATCTCCTGGCTACTTTCTGGATTTTGCAGCTTCCAAAACTGAGAGCATCCTGAACAGACTAAGACACTGGGGCTTCCGGTGCCCTGATTTCTCTTTGCCCCTTACAGACCTAAGAACATGGGGTCTTGCTGGGAAGTGGATGTGGGCTTCTGACACCCACATGTAGCAATGCTTGCCAAAGCACATTTATCAAAGTGGAGAGGATGTAGGGCTGGGAGAAGAGGAGAGAGGGTGGGCAGAAGAAGAGGTGAGGAGGTGAGGAGAGGCCAAGCCAGTGAGGTGTGGAAGAAGGTGGGTGTCCATTAGGACTTACCCATCCATAGCTCTCTGGGGATTAGTGAGTGTCTAACAAGAGGGAATCTATGGCAAGCTCGGTAATGGACACTTGCAGTGGGTTCTTCATAGGTACTGGCTGGTTGGCTGGAGGAAGAGTGGATGAATAGCTGTATAACCATGGAGTCAAGCCAGGCTCTTCAATGGGTATGGGACATTCCAGGCAGACACCATTTTCTCTCAGTCCTATTCTCCATCCCCACACAGGGAGCTACAGCTCTGCATGCTCCTCTTCAGCCTTCTTTAGCGCCCAGATCTTCTGGGGCAGGGTCTCCATCCAGAACTTCAGCCTCGGGGCCTTCAGGCCATGGCCCACAGTAGGTTGGATGTCTAGCTTCAGGTATAGCTTTTTGTGGTCCAACATAGGCCAGTGGGGGAGGCCCTCGCCATTGGGGTTCCTGTAGACATGCGCTCCCAATGGAGCAAAAGAAGGCTACTCTGAGCTCTGAAGACCCCAGTCCTCAGTGCCCTGATTTGGGTCAGGTCAGGTAGCCAGGGGAGTCTGGGTTGTGTGGAGGAGGTTTGTTTCCTGATATAGGAAAGCAAGGATCTCCTACCAGTATCCCCTCTATACGGAATAGGGCAACTTGATCTCTCTCTCTTTTTTTTTGGTACCAGGGATCGAACTCGGGTCCTTGCGCTTGCACAGCAGGCAGCGAAACCGCTGAGCTAAATCCCTGGCCAACTTGATCTCTTTTGTCTCTCCTTCTCAGAGACAGGCTGTGACTGAACCACAGCACTTCAGCCTCTCTCTGGGTTATTGGGAGATGAGTTCCAGGGACCAGTACCCACAGGTGCCTTCTGACTGTCCTTGGTTTGGGGAGAGTACTATTATGTGATGAAGGACACATATATAGTAAGTTTCTGACTTATGAATATTTGAGTCGTGAACTTTCACAGGTGTACTGTACAAGACTCACTTTGTTATCTTATGAACAGTTCCCCAGAACTGAACTCATTTGTAAGTCAAGGACTTACTGTATTCTAATGAGGTCACCACAGATAAGAGGAGCACCTGATAGGCTCACAAATCCCAGAAAGGTTGAGGGAGGGGCATCCTCTCACCCATTTCGAGCAAAGTTGGCCCAGTACTTCATCATCCTCCTATTCAGCAGCTCCTCTTCCTCAGTGAGTTCAACTGCAGGAGAGGAAGAGGACAAGGGCCCAGGTCCCAGCCTGATCCTCATTCTGCTCATCTCACTGCCCATTCATGTTCCAATTTCACATCCTGCTACAGCCTGACCCAGGACCCAAAATCTGGTCCCTACCCTCCTAATCCACCTGAGGATATATATCATCCTCTTTCTCAGCCTGCTCTTACTCATTCCAGCCTCTAGCTGAATTTACCTAGGGCTCATTCCACAGCCAGAAGTCTCCTTCTTCCCTCTGACACCGGGAAGTCATTCAAGAATTAAATGTGCATTTAGACACCGCCCAACCCCGTGTACCCAAGATGTACACCATAGTTGGAGTGGGGACAGACAGAGGGAGCACAGACTGCAGTGGAAGGGTTCAGGTTTGAATCCTGGTACAGACTTGAACTATAATATGGTGGACACCTGCTCCTGTCTTCTCTTTGAGTCTCAGCTTCCTCATCTGGACAGTGAGGACAGTCACCCCTCAGGGACCCAGCTGTGGTCCAAGAAGACTTACTTTGATTACCCCAGAAGGAGGATCCAAAGACAAAGAAAACCTGATCACCATGGTCAGCCTTAACATGGGGCGGCCTGATATCCTTGAAGAAGTTGAGTGGATGCTGGAACTCATAGAAGTAGACAGGGCCGTGGGAACCTGGGGACATTGACAGGCTGTGATGTAGCCCTTTACCTGGAGCTATTTTGCCTCATTCTTGTTGACAAGATACCTAGATCCAAAGCTGGTTGGGTTCTGGACAAAGGGATGAGAAACTTCAGGCTAGAATAGGGGCTATAGGAATGGCCTTGGCTAAATCTTGGCCTTGGCCTTCCTAGTTGTGTCGTGACCAAGTAATTGAGTGTCACTAACTCAGTTTTCTCAACTGTAAAATGGTTAGATGTCAGTCTCTGAGCATAGCCATGATTTACTGAGATGAGAGACATTAAGAATCCTTCTTTAAGAGTTTGATAAAAACATGAGTCAGGAGATGGAGATGAGAGACTTCACCTGAGACCCAAAGCTCTGAACTGCCCCCAAAGATAGTCAAGCCTCAGTAACAGATGTACTTACTCTGAAAATGTGCTACTTGGAGTGCAGGGATCACTACGGAGATATCTCCCATCAACTCCTTGAATTGGGCTTGAAGAGTCTGGCTGTCTTCATTGTCCCCCACGTATTCCTCTATTATAGGGTCAACAGACTCAGCAGGCAATATCTGAACCAGGGGAATCAGGGAGATTCAGGTCATATAGCTCTGGGGCGGGAGAAAGCTGCCTCAGGGTGGGGAGATGGGCCTGAGAATGCAGGAAATGATCAAGCTCTTGGGTGACCTCCAAGCACATAGTTCAGCCTTTGTTTATGGGAGTGGCTGCATGCCAGAATATCTAAATGGTCCCTGTCCACTGGGGCAGAACACCAGGAGCCTCACCCTCTCTACTGACAACCTCTGCAGAACAGCCTTCATGGTCTCTCTGTCCATTTCCTTCTGGGTGTCAGTAATTCCAGAGGTCTGGATAGGAGGGAATAATCTTGAATTGGGGGTAGATGAGCCTGGAGCCTTGAAATTAAACATCTTTCCATAGTTTCTCAGTCCTGGGGTGAAAGATGGACCTCACCATAGGAAAGTTCCAGCCATACTCATCGTTGTTAACACCAATGATGCTGGGGACAGGTTGAAAATCACCAGAGGCCAGCAGCTCTTTGGGGTGCCTGGGCAGGAAGACACCATCCACTACAGCAGGGATGATTTTGAAGGCCTGAGGGAAAAATGTATGTCAGGAAGCAAGGTCAGGTTCTAGAAATTTTCTGATGTCTTTTGGGTGTCTTATACTCCTTCCTGTCTTATCCCCAAATACCCTCCCTAATTAGGTCCCATGCCTGGGCACTAACTACATAAGTTAGTCTGAAGTTCACACCCAAGACTATCAAACATCATGGAATGGAGAGGAGGATATTCTCTCAGGAGTTTGAAGGGCACTTCCTGCCCCATATACTATTATCCTCACTCAAGATCATTCAGCCCAACCTTTGTTATAGTCAGAATCTCCTCTTCACTCTTGCCCCGCAGGCATCTCACCAGGGCATCTGAGTCTACCTGCCCACAGGCAGACAGGTTGGCCACCACCTGTAAAGGAACCACGCAGGAGTTGGCTCATCCTGCAAAGGAGTATGCCAAAAGCCCCATCTAGGTGCATCTGTACCCTAAACTCACAGGATACCCTGTGTGTTTTAATGCAGGTGTGAAAGTGTTTGACTTCTTCGATACTTAGAGGTGTCAGCCAGAGGAGTCCTTCCTTCTGCTACATGGTTCTGTGGATGATGGGTGCCCTGGGGAGCAGCTTTGTCTGTCACACAACATCCTCAAGGGCACCTTAACTGTCCTTGTTGTCCTTGCTGAACAGAGAGGAACCAGAGGCTCTGAAGATGAGGGAAGAGGAAGGGAGCCTGGGCTGGGGTGGTTGAGGGCACTCACTGTGGAGATGGCTTCAGGTGAGCTGGAGATGAAGATGGGCATTAAAGCCACCCCACTCTCCATGATGGCACCATGGAAGAGTCCTCGGGATATGGGGGCCAAGATGTGGGAGGATGCACTTATGCCACCTGCTGATGAGCCAAAAATTGTGACGCGGTCAGAGTTGCCTCCAAAGTGAGCGATATTCTGCTGTACCCAGTGTAGAGCAGCCACTTGGTCTAGGTAGCCCCAGTTGCCAGTGGCATGGTGGTCTCCAGTGCTGAGAAATAGCAGGGACAGGGGTCACATCCCTGTCCTAGTTCTCCTCAGTCTCCCTTTCCCAGCTTAGCCCCAGGCTTACCTGAAGAAGCCCAGAATACCTAGGCGGTACTGGATAGCTACCACAACAACACTCTCAAAGGCCGCCAGCCTGGAACCGTCGTGTTTGGAAACTGAACCTGTAAGTAGTCCACCACCGTGGATCCTTACCATTACCTGGGGAGATCAAGACAGATATCCTGTGGCTCCCACCTAGACCAAACCCCACCTAGGCTACCTGTAGACTACACATTGCTTTATCTCTGTGAAGCTACTCATATATACAGAACCCCACTAGGTGCTATGATCTAGGCTATGGGTGAGGGCCCTAGGTTGGATAGAAAACAAGGTCTCTCATCATTTGGAATCAGCTTAATGTCTCAAAACTTCACTCCATTATTTCTAGACCTCCTCAGATGTGGAAATAAAAGGAGTGTCTCTCTGAAATCCTCACATAACCTTAAGCGTCTTACATTCGTTTTTGCTCAACAGATAATCATTGGTTGAGGTATTTGGTGACCTCAAAGTGCAATCTTTGGGGGACCAAATGGGTCTCCTGTGCACAAGTTAGTTGAGTGAGTCCTAGGTCCATCCAATGGTCACGGACTCTCACCTCTGGAAGAAGCTAGGCCTCTGTGTTTCCATGTCCAAGGCCCAGATGCCCACCTGAGAGTGAGAGACTTCTCATCAGGGTGCAGATTGCAGCAGGACCTAGGCTGATCTTGGTCCTTCTAATCTTGCAGATCGAATATCCTCCCACTCCCAGCTAACAATGGCCTGATACTCACAGGCAGGTTAGAGCCCTCGTGGGCATGGGCAGGTGTGTAGATGTTGAGGTAAAGGCAATCTTCAGACATGGGAATGGTGGGTTGGGTCAAATTCAAGAGGTTCAGTACTAATGTATTCATTCTATCAGTATTTTGTAGACATCTGATGACAATGGCAACAATTAGTTCAGCAGCTGTGCAGTGGTCAAAACCAGACTTTGGGTGCAGATTCATTCCTAGCCACCCTCAGTCCTTTCTCCCCCAGATTCCCGGTTCACACATAGTCCTCCTCTCAAGTCCCTGGCCACCAAGGCACAAGGCAGAGACCAGGAAAGCTGGGATGGAGCCCAGACTTCCAGAGAGGTCTCAAGGTTATTGAGGGCCTCAGATCCTATTCCTTATGAACCTGGGATATTGTGACTCTTAGGAGCTCTTTGGGAAACTTTGGCTGCAGGTGTTGATGTTCATCACTTATTCCTCTACTCATTTGGGGCTAGACTAGGGGCAGAGCTCTCACACAGGTGTTGCAAATGTGAATGGAGGTTAGTTTCCCACGAATGCATAGTTGAGTATTCCTCATTCCAAGTCTAGACTCTCCAGGAACCTCAGTTTTATCACTGTCTCCAGTTTCTTGGCCAATGGCATGGGGCCATGTTGGTTGGCACAGTGACTGTGGAGGTGGTGTATTAGGAGCCACAACTGCTGCCCTCCTCAGGCATCTGCAGTATCTGCTCCTGGAGTCCAGGCCTCTTACAAGTCCTAGAGCCAGCCTGAACCTCTCCCAGAAACACCTTTCCTGGTGGCAGAGAACACATGGCATAACCTGAAATCTGGGATAAATATGTCTCTGCTCATATCTTCAACACCTGGAACTAATAACATTCTGGGTGTCAAACCCCGAGCCAGATACCTGGGGTTTTTTTTTTGAGACAGGATCTCACTACGTAGCCCAGGCTGGCCTCAAACTCAAGGCAATCCTCCTGCCTCACCCTCCCAAGTGCTGGGAGAGATGCCTATTATTCTTCCTTCATCCTCTGGAGGCTTAGCATGTTCATCATGGAAATCTCCCAGATAGGAAAACCAGCTGAGGAGTTGGCAGAACCACTGCAGACTGGCCCAGAGCTAAGAGCACCCAACCTCTCCCCAGGGCCTGAATATCCCCAGGCAACCAGGAAAGTTTACCTGGAAGGGTGGGAAGTCACATCCCTCACACCACTCCAGGGTTCAGGGGCCTCAGGGGGTGCAAAACGCAGTGGTCCTATAGGTGGTTTGGCAAAGGGAATTCCCAGGAAGGAGTGGACCTCCACATTGATGCCCTTCACGTGGACAAGGCTGCCCCGCACCTGCCCAGTGAGTGTGGTCCGGATGGGGCTGGCAGAGTCCTGGGCTGTGGGAGGAAAATGCACATCAGTGTTTGGTCTGCACAGTCAGTTGCCTCTCACTGTGGGTGTTGCTACCTCCTTGCTATCCTCAGTCAGCCTTGTCAAGAGACCCTTTTCTGCAAACATGGCTTTCACACTCTTTTTAGCCTACCACATTGTTCCCCTTGCTTCCATTGCCTTCATGATTCTATTTGTATGAGAAGCCCAGAATTTCCAAACCCATTGACCCACAAAGGAGATTGCTGTGTGTCTAGTGCTGAGGTTAGGGACTGTGTTCAGGAAGGGGAAACTGAGCTTGTGAATCCTGTGAATATATTAAAACCAGGGAAGTGTTACTAGGTGGTGTATTAAGGCCCTGGGGAATTTGATGTCCCTGGGGAAAATCCAGGGCTGGGTGGTGCCCACCACCTGAGCCCCTTATGGCTTGTCAATTATAGTTGTCCTCCATGTTAGTGAGCTCTGTATCCCTTGATTCAATCTCCCATGAAGACTGAGAACACTGAAGAAAACCTGGATTTGTACTGAGCATTTACAGACATTTTTCTTGTTGTTATTCTCTAAACAATATAGTACAACAACTATTGACATAGCACTTACCTGGTATTAGGCATTGTAAATAATCTAGTGTTTTTTTCAAAGCATATAATTATGATTAGGTTATAGGCAAATACTTGGCCATTTTACATAAAGGGCTAGAGCACCTGCTCATTTGGGTATTGCTGGGAGGTCTTGGATACAATTCCCACAGATATCAAAGAACAATTTATACTCTTGCTGAATGTGGGTCCAAGTCAAAATGGCATTTTTTTTTGGTACTGGGGATCGAACTTGGGTCCTTAGCTTGCCAGGCAAGCAGTAAAACCACTGAGCTGAATCCCTGACCCAAAATGGTATTTTAAATGTAGCCATCAGTAAGTCCAGGCAGATTTTCTTGCCTGGAAGGTCCTGGTGCTCTCAAAGAGCCAGAACAATGGCACATAAGGGAAGAAGGCCCTAGGGAATAGGCCACAGGGCACAGTGAGTATGGGCTCCTTCTGGCCAGACTAGTTGGAGAAAAGGCAGCTATCAGGTCCCACATTAGGAGCCATGTAGGTGAGAACATTAAGGGCCAAGGAGGCAACCAGGCTTGGTGCCTGCCTGTTCTGAGCTTCTGATAAGGGCCTATACTGACCAGCAGGCCCAGAGCAAGTCACCTTTTCCCTGGAAGCCAAGCTATAGTTATTAGCCATGGAAAGCACCAGTTCCAATCACAAACATAGGAGGAAAAGTTTACAAATGCCACCCTCACCTGGCCTGTGCTCAAGCTGTTGACCTGCCCAGTGTCACCATTTTTGTTTCTTGACTGTGGACTTCACGTTGGGTGTCCTCTGGCAGCCCTGACCCTCTCTATGTCTCAAGTCCCCACCTCGGGTATCTAGCATGGGTGGAGGTGTTGAATGGGCTCATATTTCCCACACTGTCATCTGTCGTCTCTACCAGCTCGCCCCTCCCTCGTATTTCCCTCCCATAATCTCAGGCTTTCCCTCTGGCAGATGAGACCCAGATTCCTGTTATCCCCTGAAGAATCTCACCCAGGTCTTGGGCAAAGAGAAGCAGGAGTCCCCCAGCTATGGCATCCAGCAGTACAACAAATTGGTTCAACCTCATGGTCTGCTCCCAGGCCTGTTTCTTCACTGCTGCTTTGTCGTGCCTTTCACTCAAGGCAGCCTCTGAGCAGGACCTTGCCCAGGCTGGAGTTTGGACCCCTTAGTCAGGGATTAGGCAATCCAGGAAACAGCTTCAGGAGACTCATACTAGCCAGGAAGTTTCCTGGTGCTCACCAGGAAGGGCATGCTTGCTTCTCCCCTGTCCTGACCTCTTTGGGCTCATCCTAACACATTGAGTGACTTCTGAAGCTCCTGGAAGATAACAAGAAATGTTTTCCTCAAAGGTGGAGTCACTATGTTCCACTGACTTTGCAGTCACAAGTTGGAGGAAATTGTTGGGGGTCAAGAGGAGGGAGTAAGAAGCTGTAATTGGAGAACCCAGGAGGGCTGCCTGAGGAGATGCAGAAGGAGGATCCCCATAGATGGAATGGAATTGACCTTTTTTTTTTCTTTTTTTTTGTGACAGTCTCCTTATGTAGTTCAGGCTGGCCTGGAATTTACAGTAATCCTCTTGCCTAAGCCTCCTAAGTGCTGGAATTATAGGAGTGCACCACTGTGCCAGACGGAATTGACCTTTGATGGGGGTGAAGGCAAGAGCTTGCGCAAAGGCTGGTAGTGTGACTGTGCCCTTCATCCTGAAGCTCTTCCTTGCCTTCTGGACTCATGGCTGACTGGGTTCCCTTCAAATCTCTTATCTCTATAGTCCATAGTCTGACATCCTCTTAGGGCCCCTCCCTTTGAAAACACACATGTGGTGGTGGCATTTCTGCAGGTCCCCTCATCATCGTGTGACCAAGATCAAGGTCATAGTCAATTATTAACAGGAGAAACATGAATTGAAGGTGTGCCGGCCTGGCACTGGGGAACTGACAGCTAACTCTCAGGCCTTCAGTCCTCAGGAAAGGAAGAGGGGTCTAGAGGGGATTCTGAGGCATCCTGAGGCTGGAGGAGGGGAGGGAAGCAGCCTGGGTCTGGGGGCAACTGCCCAGCCAGACTACCCAGAGGAAGGGGTGTCATGCTCATCTCAGATGGCCTGTAGTGCCCCTGAAAATGGCCTTGGCCTCTACATTCCAGTGCCCTGCAAGGTCTCTCAGCCCAGAGCTGTGAGGGTCCCTTCTCAGTGCCATGGAAAGAGCAATGAACATTTAACTTGGTTTGATTGCTCAGCACGTGGAGACCACTGTCCTCCTTAACCCTCATCCAATCAGCAAGGCCCGTTGTTGACTCAATTTCTGTCATCCAAGGCACTGTGCCCAAGTCATGGTCCCAGCCCCTGCCTGGGCAGATGCTTTCTCTGCTCCTAATTTTCTGAGCTGATTAATTTCTAGGTTGTTGGTGCTAAGAGATCCTCAGCTCCTTCCAGCTCAGGCTCATGGTCCAAGCTCCTTATGTTAACTGGAAAACACAGTGCTTCTTCCTAATCTGGGTTTGCTGTCCACCACTGCTGGGGTGAAGGTCCTTATGTGCTCTCCACTACTGCACCATCATTAGGAGGTCCCTGGCACTTTTGTTGACCAAGTTAATAGTGAAAATGCAGAATGAAGGAAAGAAGAGTCTCAGGAGTGTCTCTGTGTTTATGTGTTTATCTTTATATAAATCTATCTAAATGCAAAAAAAGATGGAAGCAGAGTTTAAAAGTATAGGGAAACATCTGCAAAGAGATCTCATTATACATCTATTCAATGGAATCAGATTTAAGGCCTGTAAGTCCAAGTCTTATTGAAGGTACAGAGTAACTCAATGTCATGTATGGCTGGTGGGGTTGTAAATTGTGTAATCATTTTGGAAGGTAGTTTGGCATTTTTCTTAAAAGGTACACATACTGACTGAGCAATTTCCCTCTCAGGTCTTTATCTCAAAGAAATGAGAGCATGTGTCCAAACAAAGACATGGAAATGGAAATGTTCAGAGCAGCTTTATTAAAAGTAGCCAAGGGCCAGGGATTTAGCTCAGTGGTTTCGCTACCTGCTGTGCAAGCACAAGGACCTGAGTTTGATCCCGGGTACCAAAAAAAAAAAAAAAAAAGCAGTGGATGAAAGAAGAGGGGCTGTCCTCCTGGGAAAACTGGTGTTATAGGAGAGCAAATTGGTCAGAGGTAGGGAAAGGAGGGGAATCTTAAGGTCTCTTGGGCCAAAGATACAGCTTCTTAATGACAGACAGAAAAATTCTTTGAGGAAACAAAAGGGGAAATTGAGCATAATGTACAGTGAGATAAAATATGAGTGGGTTTTTGTAAGGGGAGGAGGGGAGAAAGTTTAGGAACAACAATGAGGTGAGAAGGAATATGAATTAAGTGGACACCCATGGTCAGTGGGAATGGTCAGGGGGCTCAGGAGGTGTAAGGAGAATTCTGAAAGACTGGAAAATTCCTGGTGGAATTTCCTGGTGGAAAATCCTTCAGAGAGACAGGGACAGGAATATTCTGAAGATGTGTCTGTATCTTCTTGACTCCCAATCCCACTTCCAAGAAAGATCTCACAGATAAGCTCTGTCACAGATGTGCAATGATCATGTAGGCCACAGAGTCTAGGGACAAACATCAGGAGACAGATTGCTGAGGAGCCACTTCCTGACTGACACAGGTTCCAGGGGCCAATGGATATGTCTAGTCCTGCTTCTCACAGAATGGACCAGTTACCTTTTGGGGATATAGACGAATGAATGTGTAGATTGTCGTAATGCCAGTGGTAGACTGGGATTTGTGTCTGCTCTGACATGGATAATATTTGACCCCAAAGGTTCATGTGCTAGAAGCTTGGTCTTCAGTGTTATGGTGATAGGGTGGTTGAATCTTCAGGAGGTGAGGCCTATTGGGAGGTAATGGTTGGTGTCATTGCTCCTGACAGGGATTAATGCAATTCTCATGGAATACATAGTTGTGGAGTTTATTTTTTTGTGGAACCAGGGATCGAACTCAGGACCTTGTGTTTTCCAGGCAGGCTCAACACCACTGAGCTACATCCCCAGCCTCGAGTGTAGATTGCTATAAAGCAAGGCCATCCTGTGAGCTTTTTCCTGCAGTTGGCCATTTACCTTCCGGCTTCACTGCTGTGTTGTGAGGCAGTCCAGGGCAAACAGATGACAGAACTCAATCTTGGTCTTTCAGCCTTTAAAACTGTGAGCTAAATAAAGCTCTTCTCTTTATAAGTACTAGATTCAGGTATTTATTTTAGTGAAAGGGATAGATTAATATAATGCTTTTGCAAGTTTTGCCTGTGGAAGTTTGTTTGTCTCTGCTTTGATATGAGCACAAAAGGAAATTTTCAACTATAAACCAGAGAATAAGTCCTAACCAGCTACCAAATTATCTGGCTCCTTGATCCTGGACTTCTTAAACTCCAGAACTGTTGACAACCAACTTTGTGGTGTATAAGCCAACCAGGTTATGCTACTTTTGTAACAGCATCCTGAAGAGACTAAGATAATGGGGCTTCTGGTATCCAGGTTTTCTATTGAACTTTGTACAAATCTGAGAATGTGGAGGATCTGCTGAGAGGCGGATGTTTGGATTCTGACACCCAGGTCAACACTTGCCAAAAGATATTTCTCAATGTGCAGAGAGTATGGGGCTGAGAGGGGGAAGAGACAGGGGAATGGAGAGAAAGACAGGCCCAGTGGGATGTGGAGGAAGGTGAGTGTCTACTGGAACTTACCCATCCATAGCTCCCTGGGTAATGTACTGAGTATGTGTAAGAAGAGGGAGCCATGCCAGGTTTGGCAATAAACACACAGTGGTTTCTTCATAAGTATTGACTGAATGGATGGATGAAGAGTAAGTGAGTGGCTATGTGACTATGAAGTCAACCTGAGGTCCTTGGTGGGTGTGTGGCACTACAGGCAGATCCCACTTGCACTCAAACCCACTATACCTCCTCATACAGGGAGCTACAGCTCTGTGTGCTTCTCCTCAGCCTGCTTTAGCTCCTGGATCTTCTGGGGCAGGGTCTCCATTCAGAAATTCAACCTGGGTGCCTTCAGGGCACCACCCACAGCAGGCTTGATGTCCAGCTGCAGGTATAGCTCCTCATGCTCAAACATGGATCCCTGGGGTAGGTCCTCACCACTGGGGTCCCTATGGACATGGCCTCCCAGTAGGGGAGGAGATCAGGCTGAGCTCTGCTGTCCTGAGTCCACACTGGCCTGATTTGGTTCAGACCAGGTAGCCAAGCTGACCAGGGGTGCCTGGGTGATGAAGAGGTTTCCTGATATCGGAAAGCAAGGGCCTCCCACCAGTGTGCCCTCCTGGTGGAGCAGAGAAAAGTGCCTATTTTCTTCTCAGAGGCAAGATGTGACTGCACAACAGTACTGTGGCCCACTTTCCAAGTCACTAGGAGAGGGTGAATGACTGGCACCCCCATGTCCAGATGGGGCCTGGAGTTCAGAGGGTGTTATCATGTTATTAAAGACACATGTACGTTAATGAGATCGCTGCAGACAAAAGGAGCACCAGATGGGTTCATACGCACTGAGGAGGTTGAGGTGGGTGCATTGTCTCACCCATATCGAGCAAAGTTGGCCCAATACTTCATCATTCTCCTGCTCAGCAGCTCCTCCTCCTCAGTGAGTTCAACTTCAGAAAGGAAGAAGGCAACAACCTAGGTCCTGCTCAACCCCCATCCCACTGCCCATTCATGGGCCACACTCGCCGCCCAGCTGCAGCCTGACCCTGGACCCCAGGCTTGATCCCTTTCCTCCCCAGCCCTTCCCAGGAACCAGGCCATCTCCTTGCCCAACCTGCCCTCACTCATCCCAGCCTCTAGTTGAATCAACTTTGGGCTGATTCCAGAAGGCTCCTTCTTTCTTCTGTCACTGGGAAATCATTTGAGAAACAATTACGTCTTTAAAATACTCTCCCTCTCTCCATGCACCCATGCTATATACCATGGTCAGGGTAGGGGCAGGTGGAAGGAACACAAGTTGGAGTGGAAGGAAGGGCTTGGATTCTAATCTCAAGACAGACTTTTGAGCTGCAAGATGATGGAGAATGATCCCATTCTCCATGAGCTTCAGTTTCATCATTTAGAGCAGTGATGGTGATCGTTTTAGAGATGAGTGCCCAAACTGCAGCCCCAAACCAACTTATTTTTC